CAGAACATGGTCCACAGAGACAAACACACAGCGTTTCCATGACAGCTGTAGAAACAGATCTGTCAGGTTTAACAGACGCTAGATGCTAAATTGACTGGAGCCATATACAGTGTAGTGTATGTACATTAAACCAGGAACCTGACAGCTTACGCCAGCATGCAGCCATGCATAATGAAGTCAACAAACCTAAACATATAGCAATATGATAATTCCAAGGTATTCTAACGCATAGGTATTTTATTTTCTCCCCCTATATGTTAAATTCAACACATAAACAGTGATTGTACATACAAATATACAGAAGTGTGTTCTCTGTAGACGATGTGTTCACTTATTTCAACAAAACATGTCATTTGACCAGGGGTGCCCAAAATTTTGCATGAGTAAACTAAGCAGCAAAAATACATATATATGCCCACAGCAGTTTAGCTCCGCCTACACTGTTAGAAATAAAGGTATGATGCAGGTACATTTTTCGTTCATCAAGGTACAAACAATGTAAATGTACCATCAAAGGTACAACAGGGGTTTTAAGGTCTAATTGTGTACCTTAAATAATGTTTTCCAGGTGAAAAGTTCTAAAGGGATACAGAGAAATAAAAAAAAAATGTAAAAAATTTTTAAAAAATTAATTGTGACTGTTTTTGGTACATAAAACCACGTAAGTGGTTAAATAGTCGATGTGGAATACAACCCTATTTCCAAAAAAGTTGGGATGCTGTGCGAAATGTAAATAAAAATGCAAAACAATGATGTCCAAATCATTTAAACCCTGTATTTAATTGAAAATAGTACATAGACAACATACCAAATTTTAAAACTGAGAAATTTTATTGTTTTTTGAAAAACATAAGCCCATTTTGAATTTGATGCCAGCAATATGTTTCAAAAAAGTTGGGACGGGGGCATGTTTACCACTGTGTTGTATTACCTCTTCTTTTAACAACACTCCGTACGTGTTCGGGGAACAGAGGAGACGAATTGCTGTAGTGTTTTCTCATTCTTGCTTGATACTGAATTTCAGCTGCTCATCAGTTCGGGGTCTTCTTTGTTGTATTTTTCATTTCATAACGCGCCAAATGTGTTCAGTGGGTGACAGGTCTGGACTGCAGGCAGGCCAGGTTAGCACCCAGACTCTTTTATTACAGAGCCATGCTGTTGAATGTGGTTTGATATTGTCTTGCTGAAATAAGCTTCATTCATGACCTTCATTAAAAAGGACGTCTGGATGGCAGCAAATGTTGTCAAAACCAGTATTTATCATTCAATATTTATAGTGCCTTCACAGATGTACACGTCACCCATGCTATGTGCACTAATCCACCCCCAAACCATCGTGGATGCCGGCTTTTGAATTGTGCACTAATAACAAGCCAGATGGTCCCTCTCCTGTTTAGCCCGTAGGACACAGTATCCATGATTTCCAAAACGAATTTCAAATTTTAATTCGTCGGACTACAGGACGCTTTCCCACTTCGCCTCAGTCCATCTTAAATGAGCTCAGGCCCAGAGAAGGCAGTGATTTTTCTGGATCCTGTTTACGTATAGTTGCTTCTTTGTATGGTTGAGTGAACAGCAGTGTTCCTGAGCTCATGCAGTAATTTCCACAACAGAATCATGTCTGTTTTTAATGCAGTGCCACCTGGGGGCCTTGCATACACAGATTTCTCCAAATCTTTTAACGATATTATGTACCGTAGATGATGAACTCCCCAGGGTCTTTGCTATTTTCCATTGACAGTTTTTCTCGAATTGTTGCACTACTTGCCTGTACAGTCTTTCACAAAGGGGTGAACCCCTCCCCATCTTTACTTCTGAAAGACTCAGCCTCTCTGGGATGCTTTTTTATACCCAATCATGTTACTGACCTTTTGCCAATTAACCTAATTAGCTGTGAGATGTTCCAAGTGGTTTTGTTTCAGCAATACACAACTTTGCCAGTCTTTTGTTGCCCCGTCCCAACTTTTTTGAAAGGTGTTTAAAAAATTCATCAAACTCAAAATGGCCATATATTTTTCACAAAACAATAAATTGTCTCAGTTTCAACATTGGATATGTTGTCTTTGTACTACTTTCAATTAAATACAGGGTTTAAATGATTTGCACATCATTTTATTCTGATTTTATTTACATTTTTCACAGCATCCCAGCTTTTTTGGAAACAGGGTTGTAAAAAATACTCAAAAAAAATAAGATGTGGGTCAATGAACCTCTGAACATATTCCCAAATGAGCTATGTCCTTGCTCAGAGTAGTTCAGTTGACTTGGACGTTCCCTATTACAACATGGACATAATCACAGCCAACTTAACAGTATCTACAGCCAAGTGAAAAGAGGCCAAACGATGGTAGAGATCCATTATGAACAATGTTAAACAGAAAAAATATGTTGGCCAAATGTAATTCTCGGAACCTCTATGTCCAACAAAGTGTTTTTAGAGTCCTTTAGGGTCAGATGTAGCACATCATTATGAGATTGAAGGAAATCTTACCTTTTCAGATTAAGTAGTCACCCAAGGTGCTGCAATGGTGCTGCTGCTGGTGCTTTTTCCCTGCAGTTGTAGATTTCATCTATGTGATCACTGGCATTTCAGCCTTTTCTATCCGTCCTTTCCAGTTCCAGTAGGATTTTTCTTCCTCTACCACTCCTTTTCTGCAACATCTGTTGGAGCAGCACACGCTGTAAAGGCAACTTCCCCAGAACTGCATCAGCTGCCACTTTCTCTGTGTCTGTTCAGCATAATTCCCCTCTTGTCTCTCTCTTTCTGTCCGCTTCTCATAATATTTCTGCATGTTTCAACTTCAGCGTGTTGTTTTCACCACTCCTTGTTCCAGCCGTCCCCTCCTCCTCCTTTAGTTTCCCAAGGAAGGAAGACAGGCAGGCCCTCAATCCCTGTTGTTAGCACCTATGAGCTCAGACTCAAAGGAATCAATGAGCTCATACAGGTACAATGCCTTTCAAAAGTTTGGAATCACTGTGTTTATTAATATAAGACCAGTTTGGCTGCAGAGACATGTATGAAGTGATGCTAATATGCTCGTCCTGTGTAACTTATAACTCATATTTTCCATTACTTATCGTGATGTACCCAGAATGATGAACATAAGGCCATCTGAATCCCCTACTCTCGCTGAAGACAACCCCACCAGGCATGCAAGCACTCACATGTTACGAACATCTACCAGAGCTGGAATGTCATAATAAATGAGGTATTACAGTAAAATTAGGGATTAAGGTAAAGAAAAAACCTTGTTATTGAAACATGTCAGGTCAAGTTAACCTATTTTTTGTCCAAAGACACGTTTCATTACTGTGTTACAATGAATATAATCTAACTGCTGAATGCAACATAACATCTGCAACTTTCACCTGGATGGTCATAAAAGTTACAAAAAATAACAAATTAGAAGTTTTGATGAGCAACGCAAGGCTGTACATAAACTTTTTGAGCATTTAGCACTGGCACTATAAATGTTTTAATAACTTCAAACTTCAAAGATTTTAGCACTGAGATAAAATGACAAAATCTCAAGAAGTGCAACAAATCAAGAAAAGGTTTTGTATTTAATGTTCAATTTGTAAAAGTCAAATATAATCAATTTTCTCCACAATAACTCAAATTAGAAGTGGGTGATATGGCAAAAATATAATATCGTGATAATTCAAGAAATTATTACAATGGCTGATATGGCACAATATTTATTTTTAAGACATCTGATCAGTTGGAACAGAGGAAAAAAGAACCAGTAGTGCTACAATTAAAAAACATACTCTTAAAAACTGATGATTTTTATTCAATATTTGACATACATAGATCAGGCATAACATTATGACCACCTCCTTGTTTCTATGCTCATTGTCCATTTTATCAGCTCCACTTACTATATAGGTGAACTTCGTAGTTCTACAATTACAGACTGTAGTCCATCCATTTCTCTGCCCCCTTTTATCCTGTTCTTCAGTGGTCAGGACCCCCATGGACCCTCACAGAGCAGGTACTATTTGGGTGGTGGATCATTCTCAACACTGCAGTAACACTGATGTGGTGGTGGTTAGTGTGTGTTGTGCTGGTACGAGTGGATCAGACACAGCAGTAAAAGGAATGACTCAACGTGGCTCAATGTTATTTCATGTCATTTTTAATCTAATCAGTTTATTCTGAAATTAACTACAGATAATAGGTTAAAATGCTCTATTCCTGATCAGGTTTCTTCTCCTACATGCAAAGTCCTTATAGCATGCAAGACCCCTGAGTGCATGGCGAAGTCACTCTGATGGTAGATTTAGCATCTGAAAACAGATAATCTGTATTTAAAAAACTTTATAAAATATCAAAAATATGTTGTTTAGTTTATAATATTTAAATCTTTATTACTATTGTATAAAAAAATGACATATATTGACATGATTTGAAACTTTTCATCAATCATATTTACATATACTGACCAGTCACCTTGTATTTACACTCATTGTCCATTTTATCAGCTCCACTTACCATACAGGTGCACTACCACAGAGTAAGTATTATTTGGGTGGTGGATCATTTTCAGCACTGCAGTAACACTGATGTGGTGGTGGCCTGTTAGTGTGTGTCGTGCTGGTGCCACCTTGTAGAAGTAAAGTCAGAGACAGTAGCTCATCTGCTGCTGCACAGTTTGTGTTATTCATCCTCTTGTCCTTCATCAGTGGTCACAGGACACCGTTGGCTGGATATTTTTGGTTGGTGGACCAAAAAAGCTGGTGTTTAAAAACTCCAGCGGCACTGCTGTGTCTGATCCACTTACACCACTCACACTCACACACTAACAAACCACCACGTCAGTGCTGAGAATGATCCACCACTCAAATAATACCTGCTCTGTCCTGTGGTCGTCCTGACCTTTGAAGAACAGTGTAAAAGGGGGCTAACAAAGTATGCAGAGAAACAGATGGACTACAGCCTTTAATTGTAGAACTACAAAGTGCACCTATACAGTAAGTGGAGCTGATAAAATGGACAATGAGCGTAGAAACAAGGAGGTGTACTTAATCAATGACACTGACACAAAACCTCACATCTCCAAAATGGTAACATTACAGGAGAAAGAAAAAACTTTCTAAACTTAATGGACGTTAATGCAGAAATGAAGGTCAGCTTTTCAAATTTTGTCAGAAAAGGCCAGAAAAGGAGATACAACGTTTTGTCCCGACAGAGACATTATATATTTACAGTACTATACACAGGTTTTAGGCACCTAAAAATCAGAGTAAGTCATTTATCTGGGCATTAAACATTTCTTTGCTCTGAAAAACATTAATATTAGAGTAAATACAACAATACTTGCTGGTCAGGGAATTTCGAGGGAATGGCTGGGGTACCTGGGAGAAATTTAGAACCAGACTTATTTCTCCCATGATATCAAGATTTTTACTATCTGCATCTGTTATAATGATGTATGGTAATTTTACAAGTAAAAACACACTTACTGCTGAGATAACTGATTTTTAATAAGTTGCTTAGGTGTCTGTGTCTCTGTCTCTCTCTCTCTCTCTCATATATATATATATATATATATATATATATATATATATACACACACACACACACACACACACAGTTTTTATATAAAAAATAAAAATTTGCATGCCTGTAGTGGGGCGGCATTTTGTTACTATATAAATCAACAACAATTTTTTCCACATTATCCTTAAAAAACATTCGATTTAGAATCTACACTTGTATCTTCATTATCTCTTTTATACATTTTTACAGCTAGCAGCATGAACGCTCACAGGGGATAGTAACCATAATGCTTCTTGGCTATATGTAACGTGAAATTCCCTAGATGCTTTCCACAGTTATCTCCCACTGACAGTCGTCTGACAGCCGTTAACATCTTCTGACAGTCCGTCACGTAAACTCACATGTCTGGGAATTCTAACAGTAATATCAACAGATATCAACATTACATAACTAACTACACAACAGAAGACAGTCTTGACAGCTCTGACTGAAGATAGATCACCGCAGTGGTTTCTGGTCCCAGTCTTGGGAATTCTGCTCAAAACAGGCAGCTCATGACAGGTTTGGATTAACAGACGACTCCAGCGTTTTCAACCTGATCTCCACCTCCTCCATCTATGTTTTACCACTGATTACCGCAAATGATCATTTTAACGTGATTCCCGAAATTTAGAACGGAAAACTCAATTAAAGGGTTCCGGCTTAAAACTTCATTTTTAATATGCTATTTGTTGTTAGGTAATATTCTGTAGCACAGCATTGTATCCCTCAGCCTCACTGGTTTTCATGTTTCTGTTCATCAATGTTCTCTCACTATATTACCCAACATGCCTTATGGAAATACAACAGAGTATTTGGCAATCCCTGTGGTGTCAACCAATCCTGACTGCTAGCCTAGCCACTGAGCTATAGGCTAATAATACAACCACCAATTCTGCCATTATTCAGAAAGAAAATGAACACCAGAGACAATTTTTAAGCCTTTTAGCCAGAGAAAAGTAGCCAAATTCAGGTAAAGTGTCCAGATAGCCAGCAACCTTGATAACCTTAGCTGTGAGCTTGTGGACGTATCTAAAAAGTAATTATTGTCTTTTGATCCTTATTGTAATGTAAAGACAGTTATTACAATTATACAACTGCAATAAGATACGTAACTTCTCAGCATTAATGTTAGCTACCTGGCTTCCTTCTGCAATGGCCAGCTAGCAGAAAAAAAAAGAAAAAAATCAAGTAGCCCACCCACTGAAAACCCACCATAAAACAGCTATTGTTTTATCTCCCACCTTCAAGATACATCATCGGAAGGGGGTTTTCCTAGTCTTCCTAGTCTAAGAGGCGAGTAGGTATGCGTGTTCCTTTAAGAGGAGCCGTTGGTTTGCTGTATTCTGTAAAGGAATGCTTGTACTTGGTAACTATATGAACTACAAACATTACACTGTAACAATACAGGTTTCAGGATGAGGTAGACATGAAAGAATGTCTTACCAAAGCTGTTCTTGTGAAGTGTTATCTTTGATTCACTGGAACAATACAGTAAAAAGCAGTTCCAGTAACTTTTGGTTCCTTATAAAGTTGCACCATCAATCAGGAACCTGTGAAAACTCCACCATCTCCACTACAATGGTAAAAAATGATCCTCTCCCTGAAAAAAGATCAGTCCATTCTCTGAAAGAGAATGCATATTTACAAATTTACAAATCTTTGACTGAGGGATTCACAAACAGTTCTGCATAAACTGGCCAAAAAGCTTCTATTCTCAGTCATTGAGTTTTGGTTCTTTTTCTATGTAAAAGAAATTATTGTACATGGTAACTGATATATATAACACAGATGCAGCAGACAGATACTAGCCTCTTTCTGCAGGCCTCCTTGTGGTCATTCTGCCAGTTTAACCAAAATCGAGTCGGTATTTTGATTTATATATCAAATAAAAATATATTCTTCCCCGTCACTCTGTTATCAGATTCATTTTGACATTGTTAGCTCTTTGTGTATGAAATGTGACTCTGTGTTGAGCTGCTAGTGAGCAATGAGGAGTGAAAGGGGAGGAGTAAGATCCCCCTGCTGTGAAAACAATTCACACCTCTACACAAAGATGGCCGCGCCGAGATAAAACGGAAAATTATGTATGTAACAAAAAATCGTGTACAACTGTCATATAAAGAGTAGTGTTTAAACACAGTAAAAACACAGAAAAATTAGTTCATTTCTGGTCTTGTGGTCACATTTTCATCAAAATATTCCCTCAGTGTTACTGAGGAAACAAATGCACATTGAGGGACCTTCTGTAAAATAGGCAGAAACTGTTTTTTTTCTGGGTACTGTGAAAAGTTTTTAGGGTGAAAAACACTGGAGCATTGCTTTAAACAGCAGAGAATGATGATGAATGTTTTGTGGTAAGTGATATTACATGTGCAGAACACTAAACTCCCCAGCACTTGAGACTAGGAGCTCTGGGTTCGTGACCGTTCTCACAGTATGAGATTTACGGTCGATATTGAGCAGAGAAAGACGGCTCCGTTTTGGCCGAGGTGGTTTCTGCTCAGGTCCAGTTCTGTCAGGCCAGTGGTGTTTGAACTCAGAGTGGAGGCCAAGATTTCACAACTGCTCTCTGTGAGGGAACAGTCAGAGAGCCTGCAACGTAGAAGAGAAGATGAAAAAGAAAACTGTTACATGAAAATACCATGAAAATTTGAATAGACTATGTTACATAACCGTTCCCCTCATATGGTAATGTCCAGCTGATAGAGGCTGAAAATGGTGTAGATCTACGTCATGGATGATGTGATTTCTGTACGGGGTAGGGTAGGCCTGGGTGATAGTAAAGCAATAATTATCTAACTCAATATCAATAATGAGTGTTGGAGGTATTTTTGATAAAATGATTGAGCCATTCTGTTCCTTAATCCAGCAAAGACTTGAATTTTGAATAATTAGTGCTTCCGTACACTAGGTGGTGCTGTGCAGGTTTACGAAAAGTTAGCTAAGCAAGCTCCAGACCTCTAAGGATGCGTTGTCATTTTGTAGTCATTGATATGGCTAAATAAGGAATGTTTCTTTCTATGAGAATTTTTAAAAATTGCACTTGTGGTAAAGAAAATGTGATACCTTTGTGCTGTTTACATTTTCCCCATGAATATCACCAGCTCTTCTGAATTATGAGGTCATTAAAAATGTCAAAATGCGAATATTACTTCATGCAAGCTAACACTGTGCACTGAAATGACATCATAAGACTGGCAACCTCACTAAAATACTCCACCCAAAACAGCAAACTTTGACAAATGTTGTAGTTAAGAAGCTTTGGCAGTAGTAGTCCCCAGTTTGAGTATCTGGTATTGATAGAATAGTGCTGAGGTTTGGTGGTAGACTTACTTTCATGTAATGTCATTTCAATATTTGCATTTTGACTACTTAAAGACCTTTTAACTCAGAGGATCCAGCGATATTTGAGGGAAGAATGTACACGGTACAAAATGTATTGGCCTTGTATCGTGTTGTTTACCACAGAATGCGATAGCAGTTCATTTTTCCCAAAAAGAGGAAACAGCTTGGACCTGGTTCCTTATTTGGGCGTAATGTCATCTATAAAATGAAGCACAACTTCAGAGGTCTGTTTTCATAGTTTGAAATGGAGGTAGAGTAAAAAAGCCCATGGCATTTGAGGAAAACATCTCAGAACAGGAGGAGACAGAAGCAAAGAGGTCACTCATCCAGAAGCAATTCACTTAAGAAAGTCTCACAAAATGCAAAATGAAGATTGTTCATGCTCTATATTGATAATAAAGGTAATTTTGTATATTCATTTTGCATCTTATACCAGAATAAAGCTTTTGTTTTATTCAAGGTACAATTTTCTATTCTATTCTTTAAATGAAGCATTAAGAAAATCATACAGTAACTACCAACAATTATCAATACTGAATGACATGAAAAAACCTATTGTAACAGTTTTATTTTTGGAGGTATTGCCCAGCCTTACACTCATAAAAACATGGTTCTTCAAGGGTTATTTAGTAAAGGGAATGGTTCTATTAAGAACTGTAGTTCTATATAGAACCATTTCATGCTTAAATGGTTGTTCACATGGTGAAATAGCTTGATATCATAACGATAGCCGAATAGCAGAATTTCTATATAGAACAGTATACAACACATTCTCCATTAATCTGAAGAACGAGCTGACCATGCAAAGAACCTTTTAAGCCTGCAAATGGTTCTCTGAGTGTTCACAGTTCTATATAGAACCACTGTCTTTACTAAAGAACCCTTGAAGAATAAGGCAGTGTAAGGGCAGGGCTTTGAGTTACTCCGGTCATTTACAAGGATGTGAAGACGTGATTGCAGTCTTATTGAACTGTATGTCCTGGTACCTCAAAATCTTCAGGGGTGAAAGTCCACTTTGTAGTCCAATGAAGAGTGACCTTACTCCTTCATCTCCGATATTATTACTACTCAGACTCAGTTCTCTCAGACTTGAGTTCTGGGTGAGAGTTGTGGAGAAGGAGGTGCATATTTCTGAGTCAAGGCTGCAAGTGTCCACGCTGTATGGGCAGATAACAATTCTGATCATACACAGTTATCATTAATCGTCTTTATACAGGAAGATTCACTCGAAAGAGGCCCCGAATATTCTGTAATAACTCTCGCTAGGATGAAGCAATCTGAACGAAACAACGTGCACCGTGTTCCTCAGTATATGGAGCTTCGAACAAGCCGGGATGCCCCTGCGTCGGAGTGATGAGGAAGGCACCGGACAGCCGTCACGACGCTTAACCTCCGTTTGCAACTTCCAGGTGCATACCCTGGTACCCCTTCATGTGTCTGGCAGAAAACGGAGATCACTTCCAGCATTGCATGTAATGCAATTGATTACACATACGTCAAGGTATGTAGCATATTTTTTTGGTTCTGATTACTTCATCCTAATGGGAGTTACAACAGAATATTCAGGGCCTCTTTCAAAAGAATCTCCCTGTATTATTAGAAGAGACTGAAGGCTTCAGAAAAAACTAAAAAAGAAAAAATTAATATGAACTAAAGAGTCCAGTTGGACTGCAAGGGCAAGTCTTGTAATTATAGTGGAGTTATAATTAGAGGGTTGTCAGGTGTCTGGCTTTGGACTGGACAGTTCAAATTTGAGCTCCGTTGTCCGATGTCTGGTTGATGCTGTACATTTTAACGTCTCACTCTAAATGAATTCCATGTGTTGAAGTACATAAAGTGTCATTGTAGCCCTGTCACTGCACGCCTCTCTCTCACTCTCGCTTCTTCTTTACATGCACATGGGCATGCATGAGCAATGGTTTTCAAACACAGGGAGGGTTTGCTCTGTGGCTGTGTGTCAAATAGCATATACTTCACTGACCTATACCAAAGTAATGCGGTTTAGTATGGTAGTATACGGTTTGAGACACAGTCTATGTGTGTATAACTCAGCCAGTTTGCACTGTAGTCCATGTAGTTACTGACTGATAACCTTCATATGTAATAAGCCTGGGATTTTAAGGGGTTAACCTGTAATGTCCTCATAGAAAACATATAATCCATAATGTTAACAGAACATATGAAGAAAAATGTAATGAAATAAATAAAGCAAAGACAATTACTGGAAAAAAAAAATGGTATGTCATCTCAAATAGACTTGCTTATGTGATTTCTGACTCTAAATTTCAGTATTTAAGATGGCTGCTACTACGGTTGACATCAAGCACATTTTCTAAGCTGCACTGAAACTGTGAAGTGGTGCTTACCGGGTTCAGCACTTACCACAGTGTTTGAAGGGCACAGGTCTGCTGCTGCAGTGCTGAAAGCAGCTCCCTCATTCCCTTGCTGCTAGGAAAGTTCACACTCACATCCAGCTCTTTCAGGCAGGTGGGGCTTGATTTTAGAGCTGAAGCTAATGCTGAGAAACCTTTCTCAGTGAATCTGCAATTAGACAGCCTGCAGAGGGAGACAAATCTCTCTTCATAAAAGGACAACAGCATCTTCAATGGCATGGATAAGCAGAAACAAATGTAAATGAAAATTTTATTCATTAAAGTAATAAAAAACAACAAAAGAAACGTGGTAAGTAAATATAGACACAGAATTACATATAAAATGATATAAAGAATAAGTATTTACACAAACCTTAATTTCTGTAGCTTGCACTTCTTCAGGTCATAAGCGAGTAGTTTCACTCCTGTGTCCTGCAGGTCATTGTCACTCAGGTCAAGTTCTTTGAGACAGCAGGACACTGAGGTGGATGCACCTTCCAGAATTTTACAGCTTTTCCAAGTTATGTTACATTTTTCTAGCCTGGAAAAACATCATTAAAAATAAAATTAAATAAACATTTAGCCTGGGCTTACCTACAGATTATTATAGGCTGAGTAGACGTAAGTATAAGCTTAAAAAGTGATTCTTCTCAGAGCTGGACAGACATCATTAACAACTCTGCCACCAGCAAAAGTGAGATGAATACAGCAATTGCAAAAAACCTAGAAAACTGCAGTAGCATATGGTAGCTTTGTCTTTAGGTACCTTTCTAAGCATAACTATAAAATTATATTACTTTATTTTATGTCACTGAGCTTCAGAAGACATAATGGGGAGTTCCATTGATTTTTTAAAATTCTGCATTATCAAATCACTAAGATCACTCAGAGTGGTTTGATGTGAAGTGCTTCGTTCTAGAGAAATATTTAAAGCCTTTAAAAGCTCCCTCACAGATAGTTAATATATGAAATGGTTATGAATATGCTGCCTGATTCCTGACACATTGTTTTATGATGAGTTTTGCAATACGATTTTGGCCTAAAGTGTACTTTTGAAGCCATTCATGCTGGAAAGGTACATGCAGGGTGTTGTGCAAAACAGTCCCCAAAGAAAGTTAGTTTTCAGATTTTCTACTATTTTAGCATCATCAACAATAGATCTAAAAACTTCGATGGTGGTTTTGGATATAAAATAAAATTTGCTTTATAGATATTGTGACCCCTGGTTCCTATCAATATCGCTGTAAAGAAGTCTGAGTCAGTAAGTTTCTCTACAATGAAACATTTCACATAAACCCACTCGGAAGGACTTTGTTTACGTCTCAGTTATTGTTTGGTGCAACTTTCACCAAACAATAGCCTGATTAGCAATATATTATGTAGATTATTCAACACAACACCTACATATTTATTATGGCAAATGGTTCATAGGATTGGAGCTGGCTCTAAACAGGCAACAGCTTATGGTACGCACTTAACTCACATGCTGCACTATTAAAATAAGGGAGCGATGCCACAGTAGAACCTTTTGGTTTCCTAAAGAAACCTTTCCATTGTTTAAAGAACTTCAAAATAATGTAAAGGTTCTACATCAATTAAAGGTTTTTTTTTTCCTAGAACTGTACATAAAAGTTAATAACCAATTAGGAACCCTTATTTTATAAGAGCGTAGAACTAAACAAGTGTCTTATCAGCTTACCTCAGGTATTCAATTTTACAGTTGTCATTGCTCAGTAATGCAGAGAAGACTCCTGCTCCTAAGTCCCCTATTCTGTTGACACTCAGGTCCAGATTTCTAAGGTGGCATGGTTTGGCGTTTATAGCCGATTCCAGAAAAACACAGCCTTCCTTTGTCATACTGCAACCTGAGATCCTGTATTAGATCAGAACAAGGAAGCACTGAAAACACAAATACTGTTTTTGTTTGTTATTTCATTGTACCTTTACCTTGTACCTTGTACCTGTAATTGGTACATAATTTCTACTGCGATAATATACAGAGTTGTCAGTTTATTAGGTACACCTGACACCTAACTTGTTGCTACATTCACTGACCATTTGATCTGAAACAGCTACCATGTAGGTGCAAATTAAGGACCACCCTAGAACCAATGATCAGATATTATTATATTATTCTCAACATTGCAGTTTCATTTTGCTTTTCAAAGCTAACAGACGTTCACACTATTTCAGCATGGAACAAACTTAAATATGACATTCTTGTACAAATTTGAATGTACCATTTATTTGCTACATTTTATATACTAAAAAAAAACAGTGTGCAAACATTTGAGTGCTTAATCAGCTGATCCACAACTGTTATTTTTTGTAAGGTCTCAGAGTTTATTTGACTTGTTTAGACCTTAATCCAAATCAAGTGCAGACAACAGCCAAATGTAATAAATTATGTGACCCTTCAAACCTCTCAGTGTTGTGCACAACAGTCGTACACTCATCAGACAAAAGCTCATTAAGTGACTGCCTGAGGATCTAAAATGAAAGAAAACTGACTTATCTACATAGCAAGAGAAGACTATAAAATACAATAAACAATTTTCAGCGTCTGAAATGCCATCAAGAAACAGAAGTTAAGGGTAATACAAGATTTGTAAAACAAAAAAAAAAAATCTGCTTGCAGCCTGCGCAGGTATGCAAAGCAAAACCCCCATATCACTGCCGAGGACCTACAGAAAGATTTGTCTTGCACACAAATAGTGATGCACTGGCCCACTGCTGTTGGACAAACATCATCTACAGCATCATCAGAAGGTAACTTTAACTGTGATTGCATCAGAGTTGTTAAGATCTGAAGTACGATCAAACAGAGGCATTTTGGAAACAAGTACTGTAGTCTAATGAAACAAAAACTAAACTCTTTGGTTACAATCAACAAATGTATGTTTGGAAAAAAGGAGCAGCATTTGATGAAAAGAACAGCTTGCCAGCTGTTAAGCATCTACCATTCTTTGGGGATACATGGCAGCCAGTGCTGCAAGCACTGCAGGGGTAGATGTAAGAATGCACTGCACTGAATTTCAGCTAATTCTGTAAGCTAATGTTACACAGTTGGTAACGAAATTTAAGTAGGAGTTGAATATTACAATGAAAGATCCAAACATGTATTAAAATCAATCTTGAACTACAAGAAATGAAAGATTATGGTTTTGAAATGGCCTTCATCGTCCCTAGACTCCAATATTATGAAAATCTGCAGATCTTTAACATGATGTGCATGCAAGTCGACCTGAATTAGAAGTGTTCTGAAAGAAAAAAGTGGAAACAAATTCCTAAATCAAGAGAAAAGGACTGCTAGCTGGCTACAAGATACTCTGAAATCAAAGAGGTTCTTACTTAAACCTGACTGAAAGGTCATCCAAATTAGCAAAAATGTGTCATATTTAAGTTAAGTTTGTTCCATGCTAAGGTGGTTCTTTTTACTTAAAAAGTCAACAGATCGTGTAATGCTACTTTATTGGTATCACTGCTCCAGTGAGAATCTTCAGTAACTGAATACCTTCAAAGTGCATCCATATGGTTGGTTTTTGTTAAAATGATGTAAGGCATATGGTACGAAATAAACTGTAAACTCGGTGTAGGCTGAAATGCACTCATCACTACTAAACTCATTAAATTGATTAAAAATGAAATAAAACAATGACATTAATACATCAAATACACCAAACAAGAGAAGGTTCACACAAAGCACCTCAGTGTCTCGAGCCTACAGTCAGGCAGAAACGCTAAAAGCTCAGTAAGTGCGTCGTTTCCAGTAGGATTGTAGCTCAGGTCCAGCTCTCTCAGGTGCGAAGGGTTTGATTTTAGAGCAGAAACGAGGGCTGAGCAGCCATCTCTTCTGATTCCACAGAACTGAAGTCTACAACAAGACACGGAAAACAATGATTATTAATATATTATTGAAACATAAGGATAATAACAAGACAGTGTTTAATATAATACAGGCCTAATATACAGAGTCATGAACTTCTGAATTACTGGTGTCATAGAGGAGTTCAGTATGTTCAAGGTTGATTGCAAGACTTATGAAGAGCAAACAACCTTCCGTGCCACTGGATTTCTGTATCAAAAGTGCTGTTCAGTAAAGGTATTGTGCAAAAATCTGTGTATGCATTGATCATTTTTTCACCTGATTATTGCAAGAAAGTTGAAAAACAGGATGTTCTACAATCTACAGCTGTTCCAAGTAAATTTCTATGATTAAAAAGTGGATTTGAGTTATGCTTTGTTAACTTTCTGTCTTTGCTGTCCATTTTGTGCTCACTTAGCTACTGCCATGCTATATGCAACTAACATGCTTGATAAACGTTGCTTTACCCGGTTTGACTCTAGAAATGAATAAACATCCTTTTTTATCATCTTTGTTCAAGACCAGCTCCCGTTCCTCACAGCGGACACTCCATCTCAGTTGTAATCACCTGGCACTTGCCACAAGTACACCACAAAGTTCCTGTCGTACAAGGATTCATAGGCCATCGAGTCACTGGTGGGTCCAGCGTCCAGCTTATGCATTATGTACTCAAGTTCAAACATATGTTTGGGGCTCATTTGTGCTGAAAAATGTGGCTGTCAAAATCGTAATCAGACGTTTATTTTGTATTTACAGACTAAGGTAAGTCACAGTGTGTTCATATTGATTTTTCTGTGTGGAGCAAATGAAGATCTGGACGCCTTTTAAATGGGTTGGGAGACGTTATGTATTTATGGAGACGAGTTTGTTCCAGTGTTTGTTAGCAACATTAGCCTAGCATCTCCTTTTGTAAACTAAAGAAGCACGTGTCATATCAAAAATGTCCTGGCTGCTTGACTGCATCTAGGGTAAGTGATAAATCATGCTCATTTGTGAATTTACACAGAGAAAGGTGTAACCAGTCTAAATTCTTAAAGGTAAACGAATACACAGACAAATTCTAATCGTCTGTTTCCACATGAGCTAACATTATTAGCCTAGCCAGATCATATTTCACCCAATACCTTATAACTTGAAAACATACCTACTGTTTTTTGTTTGGTCTGCACTTTTGGACTTTTAGTTTGGTCCGAACCATATTAGGTGTGGTCAAAGACCAAAATTTAGTCTGACCAAAAAGGTGGTCTTGGTCCAGATCAAACTGAACCATGGTTTGGTTCGTCCGCTGTGTGAAAACACTTCTTGGATGGTTCGGACTTTCAGATAAATTATAGGAAGTTAAGGCAGGCTATCGTCTCTAATTAAAAATGAACCACGGCAGCACACAAAGAGAGGAGGAGATGAAATATGTTATTGTAATTTTGTCCAACGAAAAAGGCAAAAGTCAACTTGAAAAGGCTCATAAAAACGCAGAAACTTTTACCTTATTTTCAGAGAGAATGAGAGAGATATTCATTTTTCTCCATCCTAACGGAAATGGCTACCCACCAAATTGACAACACCCTGGCGTCAGACGCACTCTCCTTGCATATAGGGAGACACAGCCCACGTAGGTGATGACGATGGGACGTAGGTGTGTCATGCAAAGTTCTTCAGTCCGCTCGCTAAATTGCAGTGTGAAACCAAAACTAACCAGATCAAATGTATACAATGTAATAAAAACATGAACCTTGGTTCGGACCTTGGTCCTGATTTTTAGGTGTGAAAACACCTAAAAGTTAGCTGTCACCAAAAGTTTTATTCTTATGTGCTATAACTATGCTTTGTACTGTTTGCTACCCAGCCCCAGAGACTTCTGCCAGTGCAGCATGAAGCTGTGTGTGGTAGCCTTTAGCCGGCCGCAGTAGTCTTTCTATGTTTCCTTTTTTTTGGACTAAACAGTTAAGAATCTCAGATCAAAACATAAGATGCAGGCTCCACACTACTCTATCTTGCTTCTTATGCGAATGTATAATGTTAGAGACAAGCTAAAATTCTAATTTACTATTTGATTTTTTAAACTTTCGCAACAGACTCATCCCTAATTTATGCCACAATGAAACAGGAAGCCATGTATGACCACTTGTCTCAAGCCTTGGTTGTACTTAACTAAAAGGTAAAAGGTGCCCATTATTGTGCCGTTACCATTCAATTCAGTTTACTCATGTTTTTAATCACTTAAACGTTCAGTCTAAGTGATTAAAAACCAAAACTTTTTATCTTTACTAAGTGTGCCATTATTTCTGTGGGAGCTTACTTCAGTGTCTCCAGCAGACAGAGTGGATTTTTCAGGCCACTGCAGAGTTGCTTCACTCCTTTGTCCTGCAGGTCATTATAACTTAGATCCAGTACTCTAGTAGCACAAGAGTTTGAAGCAAGAACAGCTCCCAGTGAATGACAGATTGCCTTTGTAAGGTTACATGAGGACAATCTGAAAGACAAAATCACACACAGTTAAATCATTTTCACAATTACAGCAAAAATAATGCAGCATCAAATGAATATTTTACATGTACACAGTCCTCAGTTTGTCCCAAGTGTAGTCAATCAGCCAAGACATGTTTGATACAAGACCAATGCAGCCTACAAGTAATGAAAGCGTATATCCCCTCAACTGAACCATAGCCTCAAACTGTGTGGAGTCATGTAAGTTAATGTACCATGATTTATGTCCGTGTTTTCTACAATGCTAATTGGGGTACAAGCTTCCATTACTTATTAGCTACATTACCCTCTTAGCTACAGGGCGAAACTAAAAGCCAAACATGTCTTGGCTGGTTGACAGGAAAATCTGTACATCAAATTTTTTGCAGAACTACAATACTGGGCAAAAGTCAGAAACCACCCTTTTATTTCTTTAATTTCCAGTCAAAACTGCTATTAAAAACAAGTTATTATTTTCAGCATCAGAAGAAAAAGCAGAAAACAGTTCTTTTGAGGAGACTCACTTTCAGTTTTCAAAGAAATCTACAGGGATATTTCCCACACCTCCAAAGTTCAGTCTTAGAAGTTGGTTGCATTTTCAGCTTCTCATGAACACATTCAGTGATGACTGAGGTCTGGGCTCTGGAGTGGTCAGTCTATTGTTTCAAGAATAAGTATAACAGCAGCTTCTTTGTTTGATTTGCAAATGCTTTTGTTTGTTTTTTTATCTACTTCCTTTTCTTGTTAAGAGCTTCTTGACAGCTACACATCTGTCCATCCTTCCACTGTGACTTTGTGTACTCACAGTGGAAGGATGGACAGAAAGACCTGTGGATTTTTTCACATCTGGAGCAAGAGTGGAGCTTGATTTTCTCCTCTCTCTCAAAGATAAAAGTTTGTAGTGCTGTTTATCTGATGGTGAAAGGGCTTTAGTGGTTATAAGGAGTCCCATTTTCTCAGTATCTTTTCTGAATTCCAGGCTTGGCCTGTTTTTTCACTTGTTTCCCCTTCTTGATGCAAGTGGATTCTCTTACATCTAATCTTCTCAGAACTATTTCTAAAAATGAATAACTTTTAGTTATGTAGTTAGGAAATTAAATAAATGAAGGGTGGTCTCTGACTTTTGCACAGCACTGTATTCATTTATTATAACTTCAGTGATAATCATACTAACATGACAGTCCTGGATGCTTTGGCTACAGGCTTCAGCCTCTTATATCCCTCGTCCGATTGGACATATTTCCCCAAGTCAAACACTTCCATCCTCTCATCACTGGTCAGCAACACAAAGACCAGAGCTGACCACTGCGCAGGTGAAAGGTTCTCTGAGGAGAGATTCCTTGAGCTTAGATAACTTTGGATTTCCTTCACGAGGGAATGGTCGTTAAGCTCGTGCAGGCAATGGAACAGATTGATGGACTTCTCGGGCCTGAGGTTCTCACCAAGCTTCAACTTTATGTACTGGACTGTTTCCTGGTGGCTCTCTTCAGCACTCACTTCCTGCGTCAGCAGATCATGCAGAAGATTCTGACTGGATTCCAGGGACAGGCCAAGGAGGAACTGGAGGAAAAGATCTAAGTGGCCATTCTTTGAGCACAAAGCCAGGTCCACTGCACTCTTATGCAGGTCAAAAAGTGTTGAGTTTAAACAAAGCTCTTGAAAGTTAGCATCTGGCTCTTGAGACTGGTCTTTGAAGCTAACCCAGCTTAAGTATACAAATAAGGCTGCGAGATACTCCTGGAAGCTTAAGTGCACGAAGCAGAAGACCTTACTTTGGTACAGTTCCTCTCTGAAGATTTGTGTGCACACTCCAGAGTAGACCGACGCATCTTTGACATCGATGCCACATTCCCTCAGGTCTTTTTCATAAAAGATCAAGTTTCCTTTGCATAGCTGCTGAAAGGCCAGCTTTCCTAGTGAACAAATGTTTTCCTTCGTCAAGCAAGGATCCATGTCATTACCTTCCGTGTACTTTTCGTTCCTTTGCACCGTCTGGAAAATCAAGAAATGCGTGTACATTTCGGTCAGAGACTTGGGCACCCGTCGGCTCTTGGCTTCACGTAACAATCTCTCAAGCACGGTGGCCGAGATCCAACAAAAGACAGGTATGTGGCACATGATATGGAGGCTCCGGGAAGACCTCACGTGTTGGACGATTCTGCTGGCCACACTCTCATCACTAATCTTTTTGTAGAAGTACTCCTCCTTTTCTCGGTCGTTGAACCCTCTCACCTCTGTTACTTGGTCAACACACCTGGCAGGCAACTGGTTAGCAGCTGCAGGTCGGGAAGTAATCCAGAGGAGAGCAGATGGCAGCAGGTTCCCCATGATGAGGTTTGTCAAAAGAACATCCAGTGACATTGGCTTAGTTAAGTCCGAACACATCTCGTTGCTCTTGAAATTTAATGGCAAGCGACATTCGTCCAGGCCATCAAAGACAAAAACGACTTTGTATTCTTCGAGTACGGAGAGTCCTAAATCTTTCATTTCTTTAAAAAACCTGTGGAGAAGCTCCTCTAAGCTGAACTGTTTCTCAATCATCAGATTCAGCTCTCGGAAGGGCAATGGGAACATAAAATGGATATCTTGATTGGCTCTTCCCTCAGCCCAGTCCAGGATGAACTTCTGCACAGAGACCGTTTTTCCGATGCCAGCTATACCTCTGGTCAGCACTGTTCTAATAGTTTTTTCCTGCCCTGGTAAAGGTTTAAAGATGTCGTCCAAATTGATCTGTGTCTCTTGCACCACTGAACCCCTATAGGACGCTTCCATCTGTCTCACTTCATGATCGCTGTTGAGTGTTCCGCTTCCGCCTTCGGTGATGTAGAGTTCTGTGTAGATTTTGTCGAGATGGGCTGGATTTCCCTGCTTGGCGATTCCTTCAAATATCCGCTCGGTCTTGCTCTTCAGGCTATGCTTTAAGCTCTTTTGCTGTGAGAATACACGTTCAACTAAATAAGAAAGAAAGAAAGAAAGTGCATTATAAAACAAACAAGGGTGCTTTGCTTTAGTAAGCTATGAAAACACAAGAGCAAGAGTGTAGATCTTACGTTTGACTAGTTTTTCTACAAGGTCCGTCTCCTTCATGCCCTTTAAAATGTGCATGGCGATCTTTAGAGATGCTTCTCTGGCATCTCTGCCATCCTCATCTTCTTCTGAAATCTCCATGCCTCCTGTGTAATCTGGGCTCAGAATCCGACTGATTTTCTTTATCTCCTCCTTCACAAAACCAATAAACCGCTCCTCGAAAAGCTAATATGAACAATAAAAATCATTAGCGGAGATACTTCCACAGCCAACATATATGAGACATTAGAATAATTCCACTGGATAGTCAGAAATTGATCATTTTGTCTAGTATAATTTAACAGGACTTCTAGTACTGTGTAAAAGTCAGAGACCACCATTCATTTATTTAATTTCTAGACAAAATGGCCATTAAATTTAAGTTACTCATTTTTGTTTATGAGAAGATTAGATAAAAGACAATCTACTCGTATTAGAAAGAAGAAGGAAAAGGAAGAGAAAAAATAGGAGTTTACAAATCTGGAAAAGATATAGAGAAAATAACACAACCAAAACCATCGCAATCAGATAAACAGCACTTAAAGCTTTCGTTTTTGAGAGAGAGGAGAAAATCAAGCTGCTTCAGATCTGAAAACATCCACAGGTGTTTCTGTCCATCCTTCCACTGTGAGAAGACAACTCAGCACTATGGGTGTGAAAGGTTGTGTAGCTGTCAAGAAGCCCTTACTGAGAAAAGAAATAGACAAAAAAGAAGACAGAAGCTGCTGGTGTTCTCAGAACAATGGACTGACCATCCTAGAGTCCAGACCTCACTGAATGTGTTTGGGATTTCTTGGATCGTGAGAAGCAGAAAATGAGAAAATAAGACTGAACTTTGGAGGTGTGGAAAAATATGCCTGCAGATTTCTTTGAAAAAGTGAAATTAAGTCTCCTGGAAAGAATGGAAGCTGTAATAAAGCCAAAGAGTGACCACACTAAACACTGAAAAGTTGTTGAGGCTCCAGCGTAATTCCATTCAGTTTTGACCAGACATGAAATAAATAAATGGTGATTTCTGACTTCTGCACAGGACTGTATGTAGGTAAATGAAACTGTCCTGTTAAATCTATAAACATGTATTTACGGTTTATACAGCATTTGCTGACCTCACCCTTAATGTGGCAGAGAGATACAAGTCAGACTCTGTGCCTGATCTCGCTAGCTGGTCTCTACAGAAACAAAACAAAAAAAACATCATGGCTTAAGTTCATTCCTTCATGGCAACAGTTTATCCACACTGATGGATGATAATGCACCACGTCACACGGACAGTATTGTCATCAAAAGACTCCATGAACATGACAGTGGGTTTTTGATGCTTCATTGCCCTGAACTCTCCAGATCTCAGGCCAATCAACACAAAAATAATTTTTGACCAAATTCAAATCACAATATTCCCTTTTCTACTTACAAACACCAGTGGTATCAGTTTAACCTTCTATTGCACATAGTAGGAGAACAATGTTTAAAAATAATGTTTTTATTTTTTCCCGTTGCACAAAATTTAAATCAAAAACAAATTTTAGAAGTAATGCATGCAAGGGGTTTCTTTAAAGGTGTGCTGCCTTGAGGCAACATTGTGCAACAATGGATAGCAATGGTACAGAGTGATTTACAGCCGCGTAGATTTTTGTATCTAAATGTTTAGCATGAAACTGAGTAACTACACAATTTGTTGATACTATAAAAAACAGAAAATATTACTATATCATGCTTTTTTCAAAGAAACCATATTTACACGTTATCCCCTAGTTGAGTAGTCTTTTGTTTTCTTGAACATTAACAATCATTTAAAACCACAAATGAGAGTTAAAACTGTGCTTAAACCTAATAAAGAATCATGTAACTTTCAAATAAAGAGAATTGACATTAATTTTCTGAACAAAACTAATGAATCTAGTAAAACATATTGGATGCTGACTGCTACATGACATTATGAACTGGAAGGGGCTTCTAGCCTCTGAAACTGCATACACGTTAGATACTTTATAAGCTTTCAATATAGGCAAAAACACAAAATGCTTCTAAACAAAAAATAATTCTAAATGAAGAATTAAACAATAACTGCAACGTTCCATGGCATGGCTGCATAACTGACACTTCACCTGCTACTGGCTAAAGTCTTTCCACTGTCGCACAATGTTGCTTCAAGGCAACAAACATAATTCAGCAGTTTCTCAGAACATAAAAACGATTTAAATGATACTGAATATCAAAAAAGAACTTCACAATCTAACAGATGTGAATCATATTTCTGGATGTCTGAAAAATGACAAACACTTGCTTTTCTGAGGGAGACTGTCTGTAGAGTGTATCGTCTACAAACTTTTTTGGTTTATTCAAACTGTAGTGAGGAAAATGGGTTTGTTGTCCTTAGGCAACATTATGCAATAGAGGCTTAGACTTTAGAAGAATTCTGTCTTTCGGCAGAATCTCTCTGCTTACTTCAATAAGCTAGGAGGTATAAATAATCTCCATAAATTTACAACGTGTGTTTGTTAATGCTGGCAACTACTGAAAATTTTAAGGGTTGAACTGTGAGTAAATTAGGACAGTCCATTACACAACCTTTGGTCAGCAAGAAAATCTGCCTTGAAAGAGCTTGGTGCATCCATTGAACGGTCATGCTTCATGGACAGATGGCTGGAAGTGGGTGAACTCGCTCTCCTTTGCCGGACACTTAAGAATAGATAACACTGCATTTCAATATAAAAATAAAATAAACACATAAGAAAAGGAAAAGAACAGTTTAAATGCCAGAGAGGGAACCTCTGTTCTGTGGACCCGACTCCCTCTTTAAATGTGGTTGGTGGATCCATTGACTGGTCACTCATCATAGACACACAGCTAGGGACAGATGAGCTTATTCTCCCTTGGCGGACCCTTAAAAGCAGAAAATTCATGACTTCATTGACAAACAAGTAATGCAATAAGCATAAAATTGTTTGTAAAACGTCCCCCATAAAGCAAAAAACAGTCATAGGCGATTACCTCTGCTCACTGCGAGAGATTCTATCTTTTATTGTAATTGGTGGATCCATTGAATGGTCACTTTTTAAGGACACACAGCTGGGCATAGGGGCGTCTGAGTCTATCTTGTTTTCACTGAACAAAAATGGAAATGGAAAAATGGAAATCATGTTTGTGTTACAGCTTAAAGTCATGGCCCACTGAAAAGTAGCATTAACTCTGTGGAAGGTGTTTTAGGTTAGAGGAAGAGCTCACCCGTAATGTTGCTGATAACTGCAATCCAGTAGCTGCCACTTAGCATAATGTCATTTTCATCGTGCTAACTGGTGGCTAGGCATTAGCAACATTAGCGTTATTGACAAAACCCTTCAGCAAAGTCTGGCAATTTTCCCTGCTCTACTAAACACTAGAAAATGGATCAATATAGTACCAAGAAAAGGTTCTGTGACCCGTAATAACAGTGGAATTCTTTTCGGGCCATAAACTTCTTTTCAAAAGTTTGGAGTCAATAATATCCATTAATATAAAACCAATTTTGTTGTAGGTGCATGTATAAAATGATTATAATAAGATGCTAACCCTCCACAATTTCACAGATTTCTAATAACTGGTAGGAAGCTGTGAAAAATGAAAAAATGTAAGATGGACAATGAACAGAGCTGTAGATCTCATAATGACTGAGCTGTATAACACTGAAAATGAAGTCAAATAAAATCAATATCCAGAATGCCTTATATTTAAGAAATGGTCATCAAATCTTGAAGAACATAATCCACCAATAAATGAATATAAATAGCCTATTAACTCCTTCACATTCCAGGCTTATTATTCAGTAACTTGAACAGTACAGTATTGTGACACATTTCTTTATAGTAAAGATACACATTATCACACTGCCCAGCCCTACGTCGACCTACTCAAATCAGAAGTACAAACAAAATTCAGGTTTCAGCATGGCTACTACTGTCTTCTGCTATGCGATGTACTTTTGTCCATTTTTTAAATTAACAGTAAGTCATACACAGTCAGAAACCATCTAAAAGAGACTACTGGAGATTGCTTAACAGCTTGAGGAAAATATGTGATGATTCAGGCAAGCAGCGTGCACTATGCTAACTGGAAGCGTGTAATCGTTCATTACTTGTTAGCTATATTATCCTTGTAGCTCAAGTGGAAAACTAAAGAAGCAAACTTCAGACACTGAACTTGTTTGATCAACTGTGTGGGGTCAGAGGTAAACTGTGCAAATGTGATTTTTCTTTAAGAAACTGATAGGCAAAGCAGGAAATGTACTGTATTGCTTTACCTTTGCTTGGGAGTAACACCTCCATCCTGGAGTGTGATTGGAGGATCCATGGACCAGTCGCTCTTCATGGATATACAGCTGGGTTCAGGAGAACTGGCTCGCTCATCCTGAGTGACCACATCAACACTGGATGGCAGTAAGAATAATATTGTGTTTATTCAGCCTGGGACATTGCTGACAACATCAGATTTTTAAATTGTCCTTTTGTGCTGAACTGATGTTTCCTTTTAACTGTGAGACCTCAGCTGATTTAAAATCAGAGTATGAAAGCAATTTTCAATCAGTCGGATAAACCGCAGAGACATAAGCCACTGAGCTTCACTATGTGCACTATTTCAATTCTGCACCAACAAATTTGAAGACTACTCAGAAGAATCTGCTTAAAAACACACTTAAAATGATGTTTCTTCAAGGGTTCTTTAGTAAAAAATGGTTCTCTAAATAGAACCATGGACACTTAAAGAACCCTTTGCATGATTAAAGGGTTCTTTGCATAGTGAAATCGCTCTTCAGATTGATGGAGAATGTGTTGTGTATGGTTCTATATAGCACCAAAGGAGGTTCTTCTGTTACGATGTCAAGCTTGTAATAATAGAAGAACCCTTTTTGGTGCTAGTACAGAACACTTTTCAAAAAGGTTCTACATAGAACCATATGCAACACATTCTCCATCAATCTGAAGAACCATTTCACCAAGCAGTCCCACAGTCACAGTCCAGAGTCCAGTAATGAGAGTCTGTTGCAGATTTGGGTCACACAAAGGCAGTTATTCAGAATCTGCAAGCACAAAATGATGAGACTTGTACCTGAAACCTATTAGAACTTGTCAATCCCTGCAATACATACATGTCTGACACTTACACCAATCAGGCATAACATTATGACCACCTCCTTGTTTCTACACTCATTGTCCATTTTATCAACTCCACTTACTATATAGGTGCACTTTGTAGTTCTACAGTTACAGACTGTAGTCCATCTGTTTCTCTGCATACTTTGTTAGCCCCCTTTCACCCTGTTCTTCAGTGGTCAGGACCCCCATTGGCCCTCACAGAGCAGGTACTATTTGAGTGGTGGATCATTCTCAGCACTGCAGTGACACTGATGTGGTGGTGGTGTGTTAGTGTGTGTTGCACCGGTCTGAGTGGATCAGACACAGCAGTGCTGCTGGAGTTTTTAAACACCTCAGTGTCACTGCTGGACTGAGAATAGTCCACCAACTAAAAATATCCAGCCAACAGCGTCCTGTAGGCAGCGTCCTGTGACCACTGATGAAGGACTAGAGGATGAATAACACAAACTGTGCAGCAGCAGATGAGCTGTCGTCTCTGACTTTACATCTACAAGGTGGACTGACAAGCTAGGAGTGTCTAATAGAGTGGACAGTGAGTGGACACAGTGTTTAAGAAGTCCAGCAGCACTGCTGTGTCTGATCCACTCGCACCAGCACAACACACACTAACACACCATCATCACGTCAGTGTTACTGCAGTGCCTATATAGTAAGTGGAGCTGATAACATGGACAATGAGCATAGAAACAAGGAGGTGATCATAATGTTATGCCTGATCAGTGTATATTACACACAGACATAGAGTACTGTGAAAAAGTCAGAGACCAGTCAAAACAACCATTATTAAGTACAAGTTACTCATTTTTGTCAGGAAAAATACAGAAACAAATACTAAACAGAAGCCTCAACAACTAAATATAATACCAGATTTTTCAGTATTTAGTGTGTCCATGCTTTACCTTTATTACAGCTTCCATTCTTTTCAGGAGACTCACTTCAGTTTTTCCAAACAAAATCTGCGGGGATATTTTTCCACACCTCCAAAGTTTTACAAGTTGGCTTCATTTTTTGCTTCTAACAATCCAAGTAATCGCAAACATATTTAATTATTTTGAGGTCTGGACTATCTGGTGGCCAATCCATTGTTCTGAGACCACCAGCAGCTTCTTCGTTTGGCAAAATTTTGTTTAATCTGCAAATGTTCTTTTTTTCTATTTCCTTTTCTCAGTGAGGTTTTTCTTGTCAGCTACACATCCTTTCAGACTCATAGCGCTGAGTTGTCTTCTCACAGTGGAAGGATGGACAGAAGCACCTGTGGATGTTTTCAGGTCTGAAGCAGCTTGATTTTCCCCTGTCTCTCGAAGATGAAAGCTTTAAGTGCTGTTTATCTGATAGGGACAGTTTTGGTGTCTACCAGGTCTTGCATTTTTAATCACTTTTTACCAGTTTTGTTTTTCATTATTTTCCTTTCGCTTTCTCCTTCTTTACACAAGTGGATTACTTTATATCTCATCTTCTCAAATGAATAACTTGTACTTAATTGCAATTTTCACTTTCACTAGAAGTTAAATAAATGAAGGGTATTCTCTGACTTTGACACAGTACTTTACACACACTATATGTCTCAAAGTAAACAGACACCTGTTTTAATTAATGAATGCAGCTCCTTTAAGGAGCTAATACCCCTGTGTTCAACTGAACACAGCTTGTATAATTTCCATAGATGAGCACTGCCAATAGAATGGGATGCTCAGAAGCAGACACACATTAGCCTA